TCTTGTAGTTGGCACAAAATCGCCTAAAATAGTCTCTTAAGCAAAGCCAACATAAATAATGTGTTTTCGAGGCAGGCTAAAGCATAAAGCAAGCACAGAATAGCCTCAGGCAATAATCGTATTCCCACTTCTGCCTCTCGTCTCGTGAGGTACATGGAGCATCATTTTTGTTCATTGAAGCCACAACTGTTGCGCAACAAAAACGAATGAACGGTTAATAGGCAGAGATGCATTAAAATTGTATTTTGGGCCTTATTTAAAAAGTAATATATTATTCTGCATTAATAGGAACCTTGAAAAGATGATGAAAGGAAAATAAGAGAAGATGTACAGACGGCGGAAAACCGCACAGAAGTCTTGATTACCACGGACACTTCCACATCACTGGATGGTTGCTTACAAGCTGCACATAAACTGAATACATAATTTCCGCAGGCGTGGGTTGGCAAATTATATTTAAATATGGAACTTACTAAAGAGACACTACCACCCACTCACCTACCTACGGAGGGTATTAGTCATTGGTAAGATAGGCAGTAACCACCATTACAGGTCAGTCTATTTCGAGGAACAGGGTTGCTATTGCGAACCTATGTTCATTTTTTATTTGAAATCCAAATTTGATTCTACAGAGAAATATCAGGGCGTGCGAAGGCATTTTTGCAATTTATATCAGCATTCACAGTGAAAATATGTCCAAACACACACATGTGAAAGTTTGATACTGTAGAGGTCGTAAACATCTCGACTGAATGATAGTGTGGACTCCTTCCTATTGAGCGTATGAGTTCGTGAACCATGTTTATAATTACAGACCAAGTGCTATAAGGACAGAGTACATTACCATGGCCGTTAGCCTAGGTGCTGAGCCACCTTTACGTGATCTGAATATGCTAACAGATTGTTGCAGAAAATGACATTGACCACTACCTAGCTATCACATTCTACTTTCCGTTTTTATCCAAGATAGCCGTGGACTATGGCGGTGTAAATAATGAGTGTTGCAGAGAAAATGTAAGGTAAGTAATAAACGGTACTGTGATGGGAAAAACGTGTCGTAAACCAAAAATAATTTTTCTTTTCTGACTGCACTACCATTGTGTAATAAAACCATGTACATATTTTAACTACAGCAGAAAACGACCTCTCCTCTGGCACACAGCTTAATTTATTTGCATAATGGTATAAACTCCTCGCCCGGAATGGCTCTAATTCACCTGTTTAGAACAGCTCACTATTAGCATAGCGCTTAAAATTCGTTACTAAACACACCAAAACACTACTTCTTAAAATCATTGTATTTGTTTTAGGTTAAACCGATTTAAATCCAACGTGCTAATTTTCAATCTTTTCTTTGAGTATTAAATCTCCACCTCAGTAATTCCATTTAAAAACGTAAAACGATTCGAATTTTCTTTGTTACAAGTTCATTAAAAACACAATGATTTTACCGTTTAGCAAATGTTTCAAGTTGATTAGGTACATTTGGAAAGGGCTTGTGGGACGAAACCTCCCCAAGTTGTCGCACAGCTTCCGTCATGCGTTGGTACTAAGTACCAACTTTTGAACAACCGAAAATGTGTTATTTCATAAAAATTTACCTTAAATTGTAAAGATCCGCCCACTCAGAGTCAGGAAAATAGCTAATTTTTCATGCGTGGGAGTTTAATTACTTCCATTTGAAAGGAGACATCACACTTCAATGTAAATATATCACTGATATGTTAAATGGTTTAACCACTTATTATCAAAGCCCTGTGATGTCGTTTCACTTCCACTGCATAAATAATGAAAAACTGCTTCTGTTAATCTGGTTATTAGAAATGATTAATCTTTTCTTCTTCTAAGCAACAGACAGAGCTTGATTTATACTGTTTACTACCTTTTAGTCTAACACAGGAACTACTGAACTTTAAGGAATCGAGATCAAGATCAAGGCCCTCCTACCCATTTCTTATCATTTAATTCAAATCGCCTCCAAAAAGTACGTCAAGATATCTGTTAGTTGCTAAGTTATTTTTTAATTATGAGTTCAACCATGAGGGTTATTTATCACAGTGCCTTTGCTTTAAAATTTCACGCACAAGCATTGTACTTGGAATATGAATTATGCTTCCAAGCACGATTCGCCTGACGACATGAATATTAACTCGTAAGTTCAGGGTTAGTACTCTGCATTTTCACTCCGAAAATCTGCTGCAAAATGAATGATATTCATTAAGTGTTAACTATTAAATAAGACGATACTTTGACGAAAACATTCCATCTGTTGAAACTCAAATCAACTTATTTTAAATACAACGTCCTGAGACTTTCCTGAAGACAAAAGAAAACAATACCCGGGGAGAATGTGTATTGTTGACGTACAGTACGACTTGGGGCTACTGGCTGCCCAGGGGAGGTGCAATAGTGGAGTTTCTGAATGGCTTGTTACCAAAGCCAAGAGTTAAAAAAGCAAGTCTACATTGAAAATTTTCCCTTATTTGTCCTAGTGTTGCCTGGTTAATACCAGTGTTTCGAGTGTTGCGTGTAGACAAATAAAAATAAATTTATTATGCCTCAAAATCAGCTGAATGCTTGGTACCCCTAAGATTCTTTCGAATCGCAACATACGGGACTTGAACGATTTCGTGATCGTATTGTCAGAAATTATGATGTTCCAGATTACTAATTTCAAGAAAAGCGCGAGGTCAAGTGTTTGGAGCACCATTTCATCAAACCGATTTTTCCAACAGTATTTTCCTAAGATTTTTACCAAATTTATGTAAATTTACAAAAGGTCCTATAGCCTATGGCTAAACTCCAAAACTGAAATGGCATGCACTAAGAGCTAGTTTGGTGCATTAAATAATCTAAGTATTCTTGTTTTGGAGTCACACATTTAGGCGCGACAATTGTTAGATTTGGATCACATTCATTTATGCAAATTCATACCGCAGCTTGTGCTAAGAATGATGCAATATCTTATTGTTAACTACCTGAATCCAATTATCACTCACTTAGGCCTCAGCATGCTCCACACAGATATAGGAAATTTGCCTAACAATAATTTTATCTTAAGGACTGCTATTCATTTTATTATAGAAATCAAGAAGAATACGAAATATTAAAAGTTGATTTTACGAATTAACCATTAGAGAAGACGCATGTTTGATCTGTATTCCTTTAATCGAAAT